GATACAGTCATTACTGCAAACATACAGCAACAATTAACGTTAATTGCCTTCTGGACGGCATGCGGACTCTGTCTCTGATGATGAATTCACGACAGATGTCAAAACGTCAGGCGAATAAAAGTATTGTTCCAGCAGTCCAGTTGTCTTCTTTTCAGTTACGTCCTGGGCATCGTATGTTAGCTTGTATTGATGATCAAACTGCCGGGTAAAAGAACGTGCTTGGTTACTACGCGCACAGCATACGAAGATCCCCGGAGCCTATCGAAACCGTACGTATGCACACGACTCAAAATCTTACAACCGCTTTTGGTTAGGGGAACGTTAGGTACGATTCAAAATATACCAATGGGTCTCACAGATTTGGTACCTCATTAATTGTTAACCGAAATGCTAAAATTTCTTTTTTGATCATAAAATATTACTTAAACAGTTTAGTAAGATTGTATATCCTGCAGTATAATTCCCAAATACTTTAGTGACTGCCTAAGGAATGTGATATTTTGCATTCCGTTCCTGTTTCTCCATAAATTTTCATTACTTTTTTTATAAACAGCACTATAATAATAGTTTTTCTTACACCCACTAGGTAGCAAATCACGTTTTCTTCCAATTCATATACTTACAAAATATTATTTTACCCTTTTAAAAGGTTTTTAATTCTAAAATAATTGGAAACAATAGCATTCCTGATAATCAAACTACAAGCCGCATACTTTCCACACAGGGAAAACATATTCATTCATACGTGCTATTAGAATGATATCATATGAGGCTTACAAAAATGCTTCAGGCGATGTGAACCACGCCACATACTTAACAAACAGCATAAATAAATGGACAGGTATTAGGTATTATGATAAAATATTTCAAAGTAATACTAAATGTCGTAATCATACACTTTTAGCAAATCGAAAGCTTACATCTATTCGAGCAGTGCTTTTAACAAAGACATAAGTTTCTACGAAACATGTACAAGGAAGAGTACTTTAGTGCATGCTTGCTATAAAATATATTTTAAATTTATAAGAGAAGCAAAGATTAGTGGCCGAGAAAATCTTACTACTTGTGCAAACATCTTTATATAGTTGCAGAAGGCGGCCGCAAAGAAGCTCGTTCAAAAGTCGGCACCTTGACATGACTGAACTAGCTAGGGATTAGACCGCGTGATTAGAAATATTAAAATATTACTTACCTAATACTCTCTAACCGAAAAGGAAATTTAAAATTCCAGCGAGCATTTCAAGAGATAGTACGTCTGCCGTATGGCACTTCTGAGCTGAGTTTCTCGCGTTAGATTACTTACAGTCCAGGAAACGCACTGAACTCTTTTTTTCGAACATGCCCCTAGTTCCCCATGTTCCTGTTTTTTTTACGGCGTACCATAGGCATTTTAATTCGTTAAAGTTCCTATCCAAATTACACATAAAGCAATCCTTTACGTTTGCCTGCGGATGTTATTTCTGGTAGTAGTACACTTTACCGTTCCTAGTAATGTATCGACTATTCAGGAATCCAAGGAAACGGAATGGCAATTTCTTATTGGTCATCTTAATGGAAAGTTTAGCCATTAAATTGCGAACGCTTTTATAACGAATGCTCACAGGTAGAACTGGAAGGCCAATGTCAGCTACTACAATGCCCGCTGTGCTATAGAAGTCGATGAGCACACCTTTTCACGCAGAACAAAAGAAATAGGTTTATTTACATTGCTAGCGTATCAATTCATGTATTTAACTGTGTAACGTTTTTATATTCACGTTGTATATATTATCAAATGGTTATTGAAACTCTTTCCCAAGCATAGAAAAATTGCCCTTTTACACACAAAAGGTTTTGGTTCGTTGGCTGTACTTTTGTTTTAACGGTTTTTGAGTTGTCGCGTTTTATTAGAATTTCGCTAAACGTTTCCTTATCTTTTTCTGCGGTCTCTGGTTCCTCCACCGGCTGTACACACCCTTTAGTTTGCTCGCTCAATGTCACGGATAAACAATTCAGTATTCAGCTTAGAAGTGCGCATTTATGCAAGTCGCTGCGAAGCAGTAATTTAATATCCAGAACACTACGAGTTCTTCGGTCATGTTACGCCTTTACAACTGACCTTTCTAAAGGTATCGCTTGTATAGTAATTTGTTCAAGAACCAAGTCAGAACATTATGCGTTCGTAACCTGCTTGCGAGACTTGATTTGTGAGGAGTACGGACAAAGTTTGCTTGTGCTGGTAAACGTACACTGATTGCTAGTAAGCACCAAAGTTGTTGTGCTCTTTCCCCGCCCACCTCCAATGACTATTGTCTAACATCCCCTAATTGTTGTAGATGTTCAGCCTGATGTTGCATCACCAGCACAATCGATATCTCGGTGGTCTGCTCAATTAGTTTCTTGCGATGCCATGTCCGATGCAAGCCAATTTAAACCTCCTAAAATGAATTTCCAACCGGCATACTTGCGTTATTCCTGTCCCAACTGTAAAATGTCCTCTCAGCGCTATGGATCTGAGAGCTGATCTCTAAATACAGTCGGCCTAATTATTGATTTTGATTCATTCGGTGTTTGCGGCTTTTTCGGTTCTTTGGTTATATTGCATTGCCTGAGGACAAAAGTTGGGCTGTGCCTAAACTGTCACTTACGTATATCCTTGACTGTATAGAATGAATGGCAAGCGTGAAGGAACCGGGAATTAAATCCTCTCTGATGTGCTGTCCAATCTCGTAGACATGATATCCAAATTCAACCAACCGCAGAAGGACAAATGGTGGTTGTATCTCCAGCTCGTCAATCATTCTTATGAGACATTCATTGATGTAATCCATTTCCTCCTTGTAAGGACTGTAGCGTAGATGACCAATAAACCTTTCGTAAGTTGACTGGAACTCCTGCATGCCTGCAATAATTTCGTCGCATACGGAAAAGTCTCTCTTCACAATTGTGCTTTCAGCCT